AACTACTCCGGCGAGAAAGCGGTCATTTTTGGCAATAATAGAAATTTAATTTTACACCACCAACTTTCAAGTTGTTTCGTATTTGGATTTCGGTTAATTGTCTGTGTAACTACGACAAGATGCAGAAAACTTTTTAGATTATTCTAGAGTAAGTTGAGCAAACAAATTGCTTTTGGCGATTTTATTTGGCTCGTCATTGGCAAATTATTTTCGTCGTTGACTTTAAACCAGGAAGACTGGTAGGCCTCAAGCGAAGCATTTCTACAAGGTCTACACTACGTGTCTACGTTAACAACATCCCTTCCAAAGTAACCTACATTATACTTTAAAAGGGATATTCAAATAGCACGTTTCACAACCAACGTGAGGCGATTGCCCGTTGAAGAATTGACAGTGAATATGGAAGATTTCTGTTCTGTTTTGTTTACGTATAAATTCATGCCAACCATGCCCTATGCGCATTTGTTTGAAAGAAAGGTCCGAGTGAGAGCCGAGTGTTAGTCACCAATATACAAGACGCATTAATACTACGCTATATAGTATACATTATTATATATGCATGCCTCAATTGAGCCGCTACTTTGCCAACTTACCTATTCGCCAGTTGATGAGCAGTGGGCCCCACCCTTTCATACTTACGATATTGGCGCCCAATGTAGGGCGAGCGCCGCGAAAAATGATCACACGCAAAACAATCTACTTAATGTATAGGACAAAGTAATTCGACGTGCAAACTAAACTATGTAGAGCGAATTGTGAAGTAAACAAAACCACACCCCGTTAAAAAAGGATCTAACCCCCACTTTCGGAGCTACGCGAAATAAAACACACAATATATTGTTCTAATATTAATAATGTAATGACACATTGGATATCTCTAGGTGCTCCATTACATACAGTTATGTACGGGCAAACACTAAGTCCACTAAATACAAATAGCTACAGCTAACCTACTGCCGAAGTCCGTCGAGCAAACATTTAAAAAAAATCAATCTCTTTTCAATCACAAAAGCGACGGACGCCGGCTAAAATCAGTGTTACCAACGTAACCAGTACATGTGTTTTAGAAGAAGTAAAAATAAACGTTTTCATACACGCATGAAGTCCCTCCGAAACGCAGACTTCACGCAATAAAATACATATTAATATATTAAAAAAAATTAAGTACAAATTTCAAATTCTATGAACTTAACCGCTATGGCAACACTTTGCGTGGTACCAAGCGGTCGCCAGCGGAGGGGTTACCAACATCACAATCAATAATATTATCAACCATCTAATACTGAGAATTTTAGGAAAATGCTAATATACAAAAGGTGTTACATTCGGGCGAGGCGAATGCCGCATTTTCACGTGTCAACAAGTTTTTTTTTAAATTTGGCAAGAAATCAAAGGAATTATTAGTTTTATCACAAAACTATAAGCTAAACAAAAAAGGTCAACTCTCACAATCTACGTAACTGGTTAAATACGGTTTGACACGATCAAAGGCGGCAAACGCGAATAATCTCAGGAGGTTCTAACCTACTTATAATAATACTGCTATAATAATAATAATAAGGATAGGTGTACACATGTGGTATAGCATTCGGTAGCCTTGGCGTCTGGAAACTATTTTCATTTTTATAGAATAAGGTGACAAACGAGCACACAGTCCACCTGATGGTAAGTGGATACTGTGGCCCGTAGACATTTACATTTAACCTCGATTAAGAATCAAAATGCAGATGCATTGTCACCCCTGAGGACTCTAAGATGGAATGCCTCGATTCCAGTAGAACGGGTCTCCAGTTATAGAGAACCGGAGCAGCTTATTGCTATTTAACGCTGGTATTTTGTGAGAGCGTGGTCATTCCCCGGTCGAGCCGACCCATTCGTGCTACAATTATAATATAGCTGCAGCTCGTCTTTACCACGTATACATATGATATCATCACGACAGATTTGTATAGTTTACCGCTGACAATTTTTTAATAGGCACTAATTGAACAGAAAAAATCTCTGTTCAATTAATTAACAGTTGGATAGAAAAAATCTCTGAGCCAGGAAGGTAACTTAAAGTACTAAGTTCTATAGGGAGTTTGCTTAATATATATAGAGATGAAAACATTGTTTCCACACCCCAAGGTTACAACGTGTGTGTCGGCCGGCGTGGGAATGTGGCCGACAAAGCTACCGCATGCATTTGGCTCTACTGTCACCGCGCGTCTTTGCCTGGACTTTCATTTTTTTAAAACTATTGCAGATCGAAACTTTGTATCTTAAATAATTTGCATCGTGTCAGGTCATTAAGAATTATAATGGGACATTCAATATGTAAGTAAAAGTATATTATAAAAAAATTGAGTCAATCCTTAAGTATAGTACCTGCCTTTTGGGTCACGGAATTCTCCTTAAAGAATTCAAATTAATTTTATGACACTATTACGCTGAGATTTTTTATTGAACAGTAATTCAGCATAGAATAGATTATTTTTTTACATTTGAGCTACTTCTCCAAGATGAGAACTCGTATTTAATACCATTAAGTACCCCGCACAATTATCAAATAATAATATTTTTTAAAGTATTTGTAAAATAAGTACCCCAAAACCCGAGTTTTTTTTTACGATATAGATTAATACTGAATAGGACTATGTCCACGAAAATTTCGACTTAAAACTACAAATTGCACGAACACAACCTTAATCGTCTTTTATTTATAATTATAGTATAATACTCGTCTAATCACAGTATGTATGAATTAAGTATTGCTTTTAAGGTCTCTACTATATAATTCTATCTAACACTACTTTAAAGTAAATATAAATTGAAAATAGAGGTTTGAAATTTTAATGTAAATCAAATTTTATAATTTTCAAGAAGTGTGGAGTGTTGATGATATTACGTCTACAAGTTTAGCAATGTTATAAAATAAAATAGTAATTTTTCAAGCTATAAAAAAATAATTGCATGCATTAAATACGGAAAAAAGTGTAAATAATTCAAAACCAAGTAACACACCGATTGTAGAAAACTAAACAAACTACTCTGTATAAGAAACTACACTATAAATCGAAACTAATTTTACGGACTCTATTGCGTTTAATTTTAATCTTTTAACTCTCGACGTTTCCATATGAGCATGGGTGGTGTAAAGCATCCGTAACGTCGGGAATTAAAAATTAGCCGCGACAGAATCCACAAAATTAGTTTCATTTAGTGTGTTATGTTCGAGTAAATATAAGAAATCATTTTATAATATAAACTCCAAGTGAAAAAGGATACAAAATTATATTTATATAATGACCTAACACGGGGCCGTTTCCAGGCGAGGACGCGCGGCAATGACAATCTACAGCGGCTTATACTTATCTTATTGTCTCGAGACACTCTGGTGTTAGTTTGCATTCCTTCAACTGCTATGCTAATCAATTAGACGTAAAAACTAAATGTCGCCCGTACGTGTGTCGGGGATTCTTGGAATGTTTTAGTCTGTTTTTTTTTTTGGATGTATTTAAACGATAATTTTTTTGTAATTATTGAAGTGAAAATTTCTTTAGAATTTGTTGTGGATTGAAACTCGAAACGAAAAAGCAAAACTAAAAAGAGACAAACATATACATCTGTAGGATTTAGCCTGCGAGAGAAAGAGATAGAATATAATATAATGTTGTCTATTATCTCGGTCTCGTTTTCTGAAGGTCTGAATTTATATTATGTTGAAATCAAAGAGTCACCGACACATCGCTTTAGGACTGCACTATCATAAAACTACTAAGGATATAAATATAATGCTAAATGAGATTGCTTGCCACTTGTTAGATATGTATGGGGGAGAGTATTGTGAATTGTCTGCTTCTTTAACGCCGTGTGACGTATCACCCAAATCTTTAGTCTTTGCCATTCATAGACAATAGGAGACAAAATTTAGATGAAGAGATTTCTTTTTTTTTTAACAACAAATATGATCATTGGGTTTTATATAGAAAACACTGGGACTTGAGCTTTGAATTGTTTTATGTACTATATCTCTTCTCTTCTTACATAGCATACAACTAAGTCGCTTCCCGTCGTCTGTACGCTTAGATCTTTTAAACTACGCAACGGATTTTGATGCGGGTTACATCAATAGACAGAATGATTCAAAAGGGGCTTAATCACCCGTGCGAAGCCGGGGCGGTTTGCTAGTTATAAGATATAGTAGTATGTTTGAATAAGGGACTATAATTTGCGATCAAGACCGGCTTGATTCTTAATTGAAGACATAAGTAAACAGTTGTATATATATTTCTACCGTTAGAATTTGATTTAAATTCTGAAATGTTTAGTTTAAATCAAAATGTCCCTTCTTATAGCACGCAGATATCCCATTGTCTATGATATGACAGTGTTTTGTCCCCTATCCAGCGTGATTTGGCACAATTTAATCTTCGCAAAATGATGGCACCAAATTCTAATACTGACTTCGAATACGTTGAGACAAATGGCGCCAAACTTGACACAAAATGGCGGCGAATCACGTCAAACGGCGTCAACGGACAGTGTATACCTATTTTTATAAATATGATAAAAATACAGAGCTGAATGAGATTCATCGAGTATACACTTCATAAATTATCATAATCACCAATCGTGCACTACTTAACTACGTTAAATCCAAGACAGATACACGAAAAAATTAGTTTCATTTAGTTCAAACTAAATTATCTGAGATCTTCGCCTTATATTAATTTTTAATAAACAAAAAAAAACAACGAAATGCGTATCTTTGCTTCCGGTTCCGGAAACGGAACGGGGGCCTTATTGCTTGTCGAGTTCAAAAATTGACTTAAAACCTACGTTAATGAGCCGATTGCTTAAAAAGCTCATACACCGACAACTTCTCGGCCATCGGTCCGGCAAGACGCGACCCTAACTCCGAAAGTACGTAGGAACTATAGTAAGAGAAAGAGAAAACACAAGTGTAATAAAAAGCTGCGTCGACCTGACCTCTATTCGGGTGGGGCTTCGTCACCATCTTAGATGTACATGGGGAGGCCGTACATGGCGCCCCAGTCAACTCCCTGGAACGAGGACATGTCGACGCCGGCCAGCGAGTACGCGGCGCCGAACTGTGGGAGAGGGGGGGCGGGCGCAGGAGTGGGGGGCGCCACCAGCGTGGGGGGCGCCGGTAGCGCGTACGGCGCGTAGCGGTACGCGTGCGCGCCCACGTTAACGCCTACGCCCACCGTCCCCACCGTGGGCACCTGCCCGTACACCAGCCCGCGCCCCGGACGAAGCACCAGCCGCTTGCCCAGCGCCAGTGGAGCCGCCGCCACAGCCTCCTTAGGCTGGGCCCGCTTGCACTCCACCTTCTTGTTCTTGATCGTGTGGAAGTGGATATCGCAGACTCGCTCCACAGCCTCTTCAGAATGGAAGGTTACAAAACCGAACCCTCGATGGCGCTTCGTCTGCTGGTCCATCAGCATCACAGCATCCTCCACCAGGCCGAATTGGGAGAAGTAGGCGCGGACCTCGTCAGCAGATGTGTCCTGCCCCACCCCTCCAACGAAGATCTTCTTCGTTTTCGCCGGACGCGGGGCAGATTTGGGGGTCGCGTGTTTGGGATCGATCCGCTTGCCGTCCAGCGTGTGGACCGGGACAGCGAGCACCTTGTCCACGGAGGCCGCCTCCTGGAACGTGATAAAACCAAAGCCGCGCGAACGCTGCGCGCGGCAAGCTTAGTACGCGTGAACGAAGAAAACGAAACTACGAGCTAAGTGAAACTAATTTTACGGATTTTGTCGCGTTTAGTTTTATATTTTTAATTCTCGACTTTCGGGTGCTGTATAGCACCCACGGTTACGGAGGGACTGAGGTATTTGATGCCTTAATGTCATAGCCCGGCTACCTTCAGCTTTTGAACATAAATTTTTGGTCCAATCTACGCAGAACGAGCTTAGTTCCCCCTGTGACCACGGGTGCTTTAAAGCACTCGAAACGTCGGGAGTTTAAAAGTTAAAATTAAACGCGACAAAATGCGTGCAATTCGTTTCATTTAATGTGCAGTATTCGCATAAATGTAAGAAATGATTATACGTACTAAGGCTCTAGTGATAGCATCCTTTTAAGACAAAATTATTAGATTTAATATCAGTGAATGAGCTATATATTTACAGACTACCCGACTTAAGGATTTTACTGGGGCACTGGGTTCACTACAATTGGACCTAGGCAAGGTCAGCCCTCACCAAAGTCAAGTTACATGGGACTAAATAGCGAACCCAACTAATCGTTTTACTCTAGACATAGGCTACAAAACTATGGGTCCTATTTGAAAGATATTTCAAAATAAAGGATTGATTTTGAGGCTCTTAAATATCTACTAGATGTAGAAGGAAAAATAAATTACAATTATTTCTACTGAAAGATATTTAAATCTCTAATCTTTTCTTTTCAAATTTTAAATATATTCAAAATGAAAATAAGTTAAATAGTTAAAAATAAATAAGTAACAAAGTTTACACGGTTAAATAATATATCAAACATAAAACTTAAAAATAACAACATGAAAAAAGTTTGTTAAAAAATAATAAAGACTGTTTCAAAACACAAACTATCAAAATATTCTATAATAGCAAAATACCTTGTGTATTAAAAAATTTCTACCAATTTAAGATTCCTATATTTAGTAAAAATGTTATTAATAGTCACGAGATTACTCTACAAATGTTTATAAAAAAAAAAAAAAAAAAAAAATTCTGTGATTATAACCAATTACTTAGAAAAATAAAACAACAAAGGAATTAACTTGCAACAATTTAATTGCAGTTTGTACTACTTTCACTCGTATTTCAAAACAAAATTTTAATAATAGCAATACAGAGTTCAATTTTTTATATGGCAATCTCAAAGAAAACTGTAGTGTCTACCTAATTTACTGTTAGTGTATCTATTAGAGTAGAAATAAACTGGTTTAATTATAGTGCCTAATTACGTACAGACTTATACAAGATCTAGAAAGTTAGTGTTTTTAGCATGCCAGTTGGAATCTAATCGAATTATTGTTAGTGTTCCTAAATACTTAGTATCAACCATAGCCCAATCGTATGTGTTGTACCATAAACACTTTTTATATGTTGTCTTATTCTAATATCTATGTTACAAAGGACGAAGGCCTTGTGAAATTTTCAATGGTACATGGGAGCCATTAAAAAAAAAAGAAAAATATTGTAAACATAAGTTTTGGCGAGAATTCAACCGCCGGTGGATTCCTGCTCTTATGTTATTGTATAAATAACTGTTTGAAGTGGATTTTGATAAATAAAAGTGGCACAATTTAGTGTTTTTAATGTCTCCGTATGTGAAATATTAGAGGAAACGACGAAACAAGTACTACGATGTTGATATATACACCTTAAGTTATTCTGTCCGCTTAGGTGCCTTTATAACTTGAGATACAATCGTCATTGGCTGTCCGTTGGGTTAAGATATCGTCAAAATCTCCCAAAAACTTCTCAATGTGACACATCGGGATATTGTGAAGAAGTCTTTGAAACAAAATAATAGGCCGAGGAAAAAGTTTCTTCATATTTTGTTTGTATAAAATTGAAGAAAAAAACCTCTTTGATTGTACTTTTTGTATCTGGCTGGTTTTAATATCAATACATATTGGACATTAAGAAAAATAAGAATAAAAAGTAAAAAACACTTTCCCGCCATTTTTCAATTGTTTTTCTGTCCGCTAAATGAGCGAATGAAACCAATAAATTCGATATATTCTTAAGTTTTATTAAAAAGGGAAAAAGGCAACACGCCGCGAAAAAATTTGTAACGTTTATGGACCTAATAGTGTCAGTAAGAGTAGCACAAAGTTGGTTCAAGTGTTTCAGTCCGTGAATTTTGATTCAAAAGTGAAGCTCACTCTGGTCGCCCTAATAGGGATAAAGTCGATGCAATTTTTGAAAAAGTGGAGCAAGATCGGCATATTAGTAGTTATGACATAGCCGAGGAATTGAGGATTGACTACAAAACAGTTTTAACCCATTTGAAAAAGCCTGGCTATACAAAAAATCTCGATATTGGGCACCACACGAGCTCACTGAAAGAAACATAATGAATTGTGTATTCATTTGCGATTCTCTATTGGAACGTAATGAAACCGAACGACCTTTGAAAATATTGATTACTGGTGATGAAAAGGGGATCACCTAGGACAAGAATGATCATGGTCAAAAGGTAGTCAAGCTCCACAGACTGTAGCGGAACGCGGATTAACACGCAATAAGGTGCTGCTGTGTGTATGGTGGCATTGGAAGGGCATCGTTTATTATGAGCTTTTACCGCCGGGCCAAACCATCGATTCGGATCTCTACTGCCAATAAGTAATGAGACTCAAAAATTGAGAGAGCTTGGCTGGGAAATACTAATACATTCACCATATAGTTCTGACCTTGCACCCTCAGGTTTTCACCTGTTTCGGTCTTTTCAGAATTCTTTGGGAAGTGTTTACGTTAACATCAAGAGAGGACTGTCAAAACTACTTGTCGCATTTTTGTGATCAAAAGAGAAATAATACTGATTGAAAGTTACTTTTAACTTTACGAATGATTCGGAAAAAATCGGTTCCAGGAAAAACTTTATAAATGAAGAGATCTTGTATATTTTCTGAAATTTTGTTGTTTGTATATGTTTAAATTCTGGTTTATGGTACAACAGGATACGTCCCTACAATACCTACATCAAACTAATCCAGATATAACCACAGTCGTGTCGCAAATTTAGAACTGACCGATATATTCTGAGGCTCCATCTGCATTATACCCCATATTCTGCAGTCTTTGAAGAAACAAAATATTTTGTATTTATTAACTGTTCACTTTGAAATAACCAATTGGGTTATTAAATCAAGTGGTTAGGAACGAGGTGAAATTTTCGATAGATTTTATAGTGGGGGAAGTTCCATTATTCATTATAGCGTATAAAAGTCCACTGCGGAACATAGATCTCCGCCATAGATTGGGGAGAATGGGAGAAGAAATACTCCCCCAAAGGGGGGTATTTTGCGATAGTTGCCACGCTTGGCAGGCGGGTTAGAAACCGCAGTTTTTTATTATTTTAAGTTGACAACAACTTAACAACTTATTAACCTTGAAAAATAATCTTAGTTTTGGGGGCGTGGCTTATCCCTTTGTCGGTGAAGCTCGCGGACGACTGAGGGAGTGTTAAAATGAAAGTGATGCAATGACTTCATAATACGCAAATCATGAGCCAGCTATACCGAGCACGCGCTCTGATAAAAAACTAAGTAAGCGCCAAACATTTTTTTCAACAAAACTTTGTTATGGATTAAAAAAATAGTTTATGAGAACTTAAATATGATTATTTCCTATGCTTTAAAAATTATTCCATAAACTTATACGCAAAAATATTGTGGTGTCATGGAGAAATGTAACTAATTAGAGCCTACTTTGCATTTTTTTTTCTATCGAGAAAATTTCATATTATCGTGTTTTCCTCTTATGAAGGTCATATAGTCAAAAATCATATAGCAAAAAATTTGGTACGTAATCTATAAAACCTAAAAATATGTGAAATAGAAAAACCACCAAATTTTCGAGGTATCACCTTAAAATAATGATGAAGACACTGATGTCCTTCTCGTGTTCCAGTTTCCCTCTGTAACCTCTTACGACACCCACGGGAAGTTAATTTTTTATAAAAGTGTAGAGATAATGTTATAAAACGTTTCTTTCTAAACTATTAGTTGTATTTTATGTTAATTAGATATAAGAAGGATAAACTTAACTGCGGGTATATCTAAAAATATAGAAAAACGTAAAATTAAATCGCATCTTTTCAATGATGATGATACTTTTGTACGGTGCGCTATGGTTAATAACGTACTAGTTACTTATGCCTGAAAGTCCCGCAATATGACTCACAGAAAGTGCCTATAAAGATTTAGTTGCAAATAAAGAATTTGAATTTGCATATCGGGTTCAGTAATTAAAATCACGAATATCACTGATGTTTGTATTCAAAGTCATAATTTTATAGAATAGGGTATTGTTATCGGCGATACAATGATATTTCCTACTTGGTAACGGTCTAGCGTGTGTCAGTGACGAGGCGTTCAACTGGCGTTCGCCGTAGGTATGTTGATGTGAGATCGATTAATTGAAGAATCGATTTCTTGTGCCATAAAGGTCGATTATTTTAATCGATATACAATACTGAATCGATCGCCTAGAAAATCGAATCTTTTTCTGTTTTCATAAGAACTATAATATCATTTACAATTAGTTTAATGTACCCAAACCCGTAAAGAACGACAGTTTTTCTATTCAAAAACTAGCAAAACTGCTGTGCTCAGTTTCTCTTCTTAATGGATTAAAGAAATAAAAAATAAGTTACGTTTGTCTGTACTGTGTTAATCTGTACCTTGTACGAATCTGAAATCAAATCTGTTACGATCTGTATCGATCTTTTACGATTTTTGAGAAATCGATCTTTTAAGCCTCGATTTTTTTGTGAATCAATTTATCAGATTTCGATTTGAATCCGCCTCCAAGGAATGCCACAAAGCACGGCCCTGAGCCACCTGTATCCATCGACTTCCTGCAGGTTCAGGCTTTGCCAGCTCGTCACTCCATTTGGCGGGGGCCCGCCCTACACTTCGCTGCCGGTATGAGGCTGCCACTCGAGAACCTTTCTTCTCCATCGT